CAATAAAACTCAGCTGATCATCTCATGGAGTACCTTCATTCTTGGACCACATATTTCTGTCTTTGTTAAATAAATATTTGCCGTAACATTCTTAAATAGCAAATTAAAGATTTTTGTAGCGCCACAGTTGATTGTGTCTGCTTAGTTTTTCCTCCAACCACAGCTTTACCGTATATTCCCACGATGCACTCAACTCTGATCTTTAACTTTTTTTTCTGCTAAACAACTGGCCAATAGTTCAAACTGTTTCCTGTTTCACTTCCTTCTCCTTATATCTTTGCTCAAACAGCTGCAAATATCAACACTCACCCCAGTCCTCACTGTCAATTAAAGGCCAGCTAAATTTGTCATTTATTAAAAGCCTTTAACAAAATGTAGATTGACATATTGATCACTGCCCTGTTGAAAAATAAAGTTTAAATTTAATTTAAAAACATATCAGCACTTCACTACTTTGTTACAACTTTGTTACAACATTCATCTCCTTTCAACACTAAACTCGCGCTGCTAGTTTAATGTAGTTTGTTTCAGCTYGTACTTCTTTTAAACCAGCACAGGTTGCTTAACAGATGGTCAAGATCTGAAGTGACAGTTTATTTAAGCAATGACAGGTGCTTTCATGGAGACAATGTTTTCCTCCCTCCAGTCCAGAAAAGTCATTTTTCACATACTGTATCTTGAAGTGGGGTTCTGTGGCAGAGTCATATAAAGTTAATATCCTACCTGTAATAGATAGCTCCTTAAATATTATCAGAAACTTTACAGTGGGGACCATCTAAAAAATGTTGTTATTCCTGCAAACTGGAGTATCTCTTTATAACACCCAAATGTTTAGATGAAAAGTAAATCATTATTGTCAGACATGTGAGTGGGTAAGAAATATGCAACACATAAAAACTGGAGAAACTGCATTTTCAGCAAAACAAATAAATAAATAAAAATCCAGTGTTAAAGGATTTTGTTGAAATTTGCTTAAGTATCTGAAAGTATGTATCAGCTAAATATAGCAAAAGTTAAGGAAATAAAATGCTAGCTAAAACTCAAATAGCTAAATGCCAACTAAAAAACAAAAGTAAACTATATGAAACAAATGTCTAGCTACAAGCTGAAAGGAACAATACAATTAACAAAAAGTAACAAAAGTTTAACTAAAAGCAGACAAAGCTTAGCTAAAAGATGCGTGCAACAAAAGGCTATTTAAAATTAAAAAAGGGTAGATAAAAGCTAAAAAAAAAACCAACAAAAAATAAAAAAATAAAACAACAGGCAACAAAAAGTAACCAAATGATACATAAAGGCAAAAAGTTGTACCAGATAAAGGCTGAAAGGAGCAAAACGCTAGCTAAAATAGTTAAATGTAGCAAAAATATAGCTACAAGCTAAAGATAGCAAATCATACCTAAAGACAAAAAATAATAAAATGTCAGCTAAAAGCAGCAAAAACTTACCTAAAAATGAAAGTAACAAAAGGCTTGTTAGAAGTAACCAGTAAAAGTAACCAAAGGATAACTAAAAGCTAAAAGTAGTTAAATAATTGATAAAAGCTCAAAAGAGCAAAACGCTAGTTAAAAGCTAAATGTTGCTAAACTCTAACAACAAGCTAATAGTAGCTAAATGATACCCAGTGGTGGGCACCAGCCCGCTAAAGCGCAAATCTGCTAATTGTGGACCTAAATATTTTGTTTGCGTTTTACTAATTTTTATAATTCGTAAACAGATTTGTGCTTTCTAAAATTAAAATGCAGCACCGCTAATAACTAATTATCTACCAGTCATCATTATCTTGAACAGCTGAAGTTATGGCTGTCAATGAATCACAACACATGTGATTTATCCAACAGCACCCCTCCCAGATAAACACACTTATTGGAAACGTATACGTCCTTTCTGACTGTTGCTTTCGGTCAGGGTTCTCATTTTCCATGCTTTGTGTCTGCTTACGTAGCAGGAAGGCAATAACAAAAACAGTTAACGTTTGTAATCCATACAAAAATTTTATGTGTTTTGATTTATTTTACTTTACAATCGGAGCTCCTTTAAAAAAATAAAGTTTAAACGCTAGAGCTCAATACAATCGGCCAACGGGGTTAGAGACTCAGAAATGATTTAAAGATGTTATGCTGACTGGCAGGTTATCTTGAATTGGGTCAACTCCTTAAGTTGAAGATGCTGAYGAAGACAGACATCTAGTGGTCAACTGGAGCAACTACATGGAAAACTTTAAAATCCAAGCTCTTATTTTGGAGGGAAGATAGTTTCCTGTACTCTGTGCTTTAGTTTCCYGTCACAAATCAAATCCGTCATGWACCCAGAATRCATCGCTTCAGTTTTCCAATAAACAGTTTTAAAATGACTTTATTGATGCTTCTTTAATGAAAACTCTACAACAAACAAAAGAAAAAGACAAAGAATCAGCCAAACTAGCAATCCTCATCAACTTTTTAAWTTTTACACCAGAGCTAAAGGTCTGTTTCAGGAAATCACATCCCCAGCAGTCGGTGGTTGTAYAATTAAGTTGTAAAAGAGTTCATACACCGCTAGTTGGCAGTGTTGTGCGTATATTGTACATAAATTGTTGCCAGCTAGTAAGTGTCAAATTGAACTTGCGCTTTAAAATGAACTTCCGCTAGTTTTTTATGGCATAAGCGCTTTGGAAGTTGCAGACCTAAATATTTTCCTAAGTGCTTTAGAAATTGCGGAGCTACTTTTTGGATTAGTGCTGGCCACCACTGATGAAACCTATAAAGTACCAAAGGTTTAGCTAAAAGCAGCTAAAGTTCAATTTAAAGAAACTGAGGTGCATGAGGTCATCACTACAGAATTGTGATGAGGCCTGTGTGTGTCAGTCAAGGAGTTGTTTTGTTCCTAAATTAACGTTTCAGCAATTCCTATGGGAAATGTGGACATCCTGAGCTCACTTGTTTAAAACCAACTTTGAGTGTAAACATGTTTGTGGGTCTCAATTTAGATGTCAGGAGCCAATTCCTTTACCATAGCAGGGATTGTATGTATGTTAATTCTGCATTGTTAAGCCCGTCCCAGWGGGGACGTGGATTTTCTTTACATCTGGGTGTGGTCGAATGTTATAAAAAGGAGTGACCCCAGAAGTTCGGGGAAGATATTCTCTTATTTGGGCCCGAAGTCTCTTGATTTGGTCCAGGCTCTTTTTGAAAAAACCCTCACTGTTCAAGAATACAGTAACTTATGTCTACTGAGTCATTTATTTAATCATTCTATCACTGCTGAGATTTTGAAGACCCAGAAGAACGTTCATCATCAAAAGACACTTCAAAACCTGGATACCTGCAAATTAAAAAGTAGTAAAAAGCTAAAAGGAGCGAATGGTAAACTTACAAGTAGAAATAACAGAAAGCGCTAAAAATAGTGAAAAACTAAATGCAGCATCAGAAGATGCAGATTCGAAAGAAAATCAAGATTTTGAAAGTTTTATGGAGATTTCAGTGTATTTTTGTGGGGAAATATTTGTAGATAAAGAGTAAATAGATTTTTGACACTAGAATGCCTAAAATCGCTGAAAGCAGGGGTAGTTAGACTGCAAGACATGTGCACAAAATATAATTAAATGTATGAAAACAAGAGTGTGAATGCTGAATCAGCACGTTACACACAAACCAAAGTAGAAAGTCAGACAGGCAGCAGGTGTTCAGATGTCTAATGAGTTTTGGCCTCGAGGTACTGACATCAGAGAGGCGCTCAGACCCATGAATCGTCATGACAAATTACACCGAGTTCAGATCAGAGGGGCTATAATGAGAGGAGTGTGTTGAGGACTGTGTGTGTGTGTGTGTGTTGTCGATGTGTGCCTGCTTGTGTCTGTCAGCCGTTGAATGACTGAGTGGAGCAACAGCTGTGACGGGCGACATTTGACACCCACCAACAGGCTCAGTCAGTCTGTAGCGTCAGAGTAAAGCTGCACAGAAGCTCTGATAGCTTGGAGTTGGAACTTTTGCAGAACACTTCGTCCTTTAAAGGATGATCTTCTTCAGCCGAAGCTCAGCTTTATAAAAACGTTTCTGTATTCTGGGGACAAAACAAGATGTTTGACAGCTGCATCATCATCCCGCACCTGAACTTGAAGCTGCTTCTTCTGCGAATGACAAATGGATTAGTTTGATTGCGTTCGCCATGCTGGAGGACCTGCAGTCTATCGGGATGGACCCCGCCCCTTTCAGGCCTCAGCCAATCAGAGGAAACACAAATGAGGAAGCTGTGCGATACGAGTTGCAGCGGCGGGCTCGTCAGAGCCTTAGGACAGGTGGGACGTCTGACATGTGACAAGTCTTGCTTCACTCACAGCAAGACTTCTTGAATGTGAAAGAGTGAAGTATGAGTGGTGTTAGCAAAATATCTCATGAACCACTGGACAGATTTTAATGAAGCTTTCAGGAAATAATTCTTAAATGTCTACAGCTGATTAGCTTTTGGAGTCAACCTTAATCAAGATGGCTGCCTCAGCTAAGTAACTTTAACAGGTACAAAACTGGTTAAAATGCAAACAGTTTGGTGTGGTAGTAGTTGAGAGTCATACCCAACGCATGCAACAAACAGACTTTGCAAGAACTCACAGTATTACATAAGATTACACATATTGATTGCATTCAAGAAATTATTTTGTTACCTGCACTGAAAACCCTTTGTGTTAAGGTGATAATCTGCACWGAATAGTTTTTTGAAAGAAGTTTTTTATGTTTGTTTTCTGTCCCGAGGTGTTCAGGTTGCTGTTTTTGTTTACACGTGACTGAGTTACAGTTAAATTTACACCAACCCAGTTGCCGCAGCACACGCTGGCTAGACTCCATGAACCCAGTGAGCTGCTAGATGACTGTTGAACCACAGTAACAGGATATAGTTCAGACCCACGAGAGAAAACACAAACTTCAAAATACTTCCAAAGAGATCAAACGTGTTCATACTGAACAAGAATCGAACCTAAAGAGAAACAGTTTACTGTTTAAAGTAATGATGAAACAGCACGGCTCACACATTATTTGTCAGTCGATACTGTACACTTCAACAGTTCTGTGTATGTTAGAAGTTCACAGCAACATTTCAGTTTCATCTGGTTGTTCAGAATGATTGAGTTCTGACATTTACAACATGAAAACAAACAGAAAACCAGCAGGAAGAGAAAAAAGACAGATAAGATCATGGAAAACAGATGAGGATGAAAATCCTGACAAAACCCACAAAACTGGACTTTACTTTGTATTTTAAAAACAGCACGAAAAAAAAAACGTAACACATTGAAAATAAAAAGTGTTTCAAAGCCTGAAGATATTTAAAAAATAACAAGCAGGAAAGTGTTTCAGAAAAGCTTCTTTTAAAGTACAAAGGCTATGCTAAATAGTGCAATCAGCAGTAATTGTTCTGGTAAATATGTATAAAGTTCTACTTAAAAAGCCATGTAATGTAAATTTGACRGTTGTGGAAGTTTTCAAAAATAGTGGCTGAGTCTAAATTCAGGGGCTTCATTCTTTGAAGGCCGAATTTTAAGGCTGATGATGTCACAGCGATGCGCTGACGGCTGTGCAAAGGCTCCTCCAAGTGCAGCCCAATGTGTCCTCCTTTTCCTCCAGTTTGAGGGATGAGTCTGATGAACATTTCACAGCTAATCCTATCCTGAGATGTACTGCGGGCTGACCGGGAGATTTGTTTTGCATATAATGGTGGACAAAGTGAGAGAAATCTACAAAATTTGAAAGTTTAAAGCTATTAAGTCGTTAGCTGTTTGTCATTTGCATAGACCTGCCTTTAAATATTATTCTTATCAGAAATCATCGTAAATGAGCTCATATGATCCCTTAGTTCTTCATTAACTGTGTCTAAGATAGTTTAGTTCGAAGGACACAGCCACTTAATTTGGAGATAGCCAGCGTTAGCATAAACTGCAATGAGTTTTTTGAGACTTGTTTAAAAATGGAAGAAATCCATTTTAACCTTCACTTCAATTATTGTATTCCTTTAAAAAACTAAAACTTTTTTTTGCAGTTTTTCAAGGTTGTTCTTTATCTCTCAAAGCAAAACATATTGATCCAGTTGCACTATGACAAATATTAGAACACGAGACCATGGTAAAACAACACAAACTAACTAGGAAACTAGGAAAAAGTTTAAAGATTAAGTAAAACAACACAGTTAAAGAACTCACAGAAATGGATGTCATTTTGTACACAAATGTAATGAACAAAATGAAAGGAAGTAGAGACCTCCTCTGCATTTTAACACGTAGTTATCTGCTAAACCTCCAAATATTTAAATGTTAGAACAAGAACAAGAACAAGAGCTGGTTTACTGAAATGCATCAAAACGTTCAACATTCTAGATTAAAACTCAGTTTGCATCTGATAGAGCAGATACACACAGTTTAACCACTCYTTACATTTTAAATGTTATAATATGACTTTGGAGTGAAGAAAAAGAAAATACACGATGCTAGGAAATGATCAAGATATATTTGTCAAACAATGGTGGGAATGACTCTCAGCTTTTATCACATTCAATTTGAGCCCAGTATCTGTAAAAACTGAGTTTTAGCCATGTCATTTTTTTATTTAGTTGACTGAGGGTGAAATTTTGAACTGGATTGACTCAAAAAACAATCAGGTGTGGCTTTACACTTATGGATTACTTTATGATAGTTTATTAAAACTACTCCGATGGTTCATGTGATATTTTGCTAAGACAGATGCTCACCTTTGACTATCTGCGGCAGATGATAACAACTGAAACTAAAACTGATTTATATCTAATAGTAAAACAAACCCAGTTTTAGTCACTTCCTATTTTAAAGAAGTCCACTTTTTTTGTAATACATGCACAAGAACTGTTTTTTTTGGTGCATGTTTGTGAGTGTGTATATGCTTTAATGCATGGTGCTGTCATTGTTTCAGTGTGACTGCAGACACTGTAGTTGACATGTTTGTTTTGTTAGTTTGCTGGTGTTTGCYTGCAGGAGACAGTTAAAGCTTTCTAGCTGACATAGGAGAAGACACCCCAAGATCCTGTGTCAGCCTCACATGCCTACTCAGCAATCAGAGGAGTAAGACTGAGTTTTCTTTAAACCTCGGTCTGCTGGAGGACACAAGGACTTTCTATAGATTCTGCAGACTGAGGATACAGTATTTTCTCAACATATTGCAATATACTGAAAAAGAAATTAAGAAATGATATACCAGTACATAAAAATATAAGCAGATGCTCTGTACTGATATGTTGCATTTCTATCCTACCAGGATACTCAAAGTGTTTTACATTCACACAACACTCATTCACAGTATATACCTTTTATAAAGTTAATCCAGATAAATCAATGTATAGACACTGGTCAGTGCTTTATCACATTCACACACTGATAGGACACACATCACAGCCAGTGGGGGTTCAGTGTCTTGCCCAGGGACAGGTGACTGAATAGTGGTGGAATCAAACCCCCAACTCTCTTATTGAAAGATGACTGCTCTGCTCAGCCACAGTGTGAAGTGTTAACAGCTTTACCAGTGTTAAAAGTTGCCAGTGTTAACAGAGTTAGCAGAGTTACCAGCAATACCAGTGTTGAGTTACCAGCGTTACCAGTGTTAGCAGAGTTACCAGCATTACCAGTGTTAACAGAGTTACCAGCATTACCAGTGTTAACAGAGTTACCAGTGTTACCAGTGTTAACAGAGTTACCAGTGTTACCAGTGTTAACAGAGTTACCAGTGTTAACAGTGTTAACAGAGTTACCAGCATTACAAGTGTTAACAGAGTTACCAGTGTTAACAATGTTAGCAGAGTTACCAGCATTACCAGTGTTAACAGAGTTACCAGCATTACCAGTGTTAGCAGAGTTACCAGCATTACCAGTGTTAACAGAGTTACCAGTGTTAACAGTGTTACCAGTGTTAGCAGAGTTACCAGTGTTAACAGTGTTACCAGTGTTAGCAGAGTTACCAGCATTACCAGTGTTAACAGAGTTACCAGTGTTAACAGTTTTAGCAGAGTTACCAGCACTACTAGTGTTAACAGAATTACCAGCATTGCCAGTGTTAACAGAGTTACCAGCGTTACCAGTGTTAACAGAGTTACCAGCGTTAAAAGAGTTACCAGCGTTAACAGTGTTAGCAGAGTTACAGGCATTACCAGTGTACAGAGTCACCAGCGTCAACAGTATTAACAGAATTTACAGTTAACAGAATTAACAGTGTTAATAGAGTTTACAGTTACCTGTTTTACCAGTGTTACCTGCATTAGTAGTGTTCCCAGTGCTATCAGCGTTACCAGTGTTAGCAGTTTTGTATTGTATTACAGTATTGTGTTAGGATGATGAGTCATAAGAGCCATGCACCAATGGCAAAGCATGCATTACATTTTGAAATAATTACATGTAATTTCAACATTTACATTTAATTTTTACATTTAGATTTACACATTTAGTTTTAACTTTTAGTAAAAATTACCAAAATGTAAGAGCAGTGAGGTAAGTAAAATATTAGTAGAAAATTTTAAACCATGCTTTTACACAGAAAACGATGAAAATGTGTTAGTGACTGATTTTTACATTTCATTTTACACTTAGTGCTCCATAATAAAAATAAAACATTCATGATCAAAATAAACTGGATATTTTTAGTGAGAAATTAAAATCATTTTGTCATAGAGTAATTTAAAAATAAGTTATGTAAAATAGGTGATTGCGTAACTATTCACCTTCTTTAAAATGCCTATTATAATCTAGAACAGAGGAAAGATTATTGAAAAGTAAAAGAGTCAGGGGATGGATACAAAAGGATTTCCAAGGCCCTAAACACCCCCAGGGTTCTGTTCAACCCATTATCAAGAAATAGCAGGAATATRAAACGTGTAAAAGCAAACCATCGTCACAAACTGAGTGACTGAGCAGGAAGAACAGTGAGAGAGATCAGCAGGACACCTGAGAGCACTTTAAAGGAGTTACATCTGCAGCAGGTCAGATGGGACATCCTGTAAATACAGCAGCTGTTGTACTAAAGTTACTGTTAAAGAAAACTTATAGTCAAGAAGTGTTATGTCATGTTATAATGCTAACACACACACACACACACACACACACACACACACACACACACACAC